GTTACTGGCCAAACACAAGATCCAGGAATCAAAGAAAAAGAAAACTGAGTCTAGGGGCAATGGGATAACTATAGTTATTGGCACCAACAGTACAAATTGTATATCCTGTTGTATTAGTCTTTTAATTTCAAACGATAATAGTTGTTACTTTTTCTTTGGTCTAAGTGAATTTAAACAGACTTACTTGATATGAAAGGGTAGCAAACATATTCAGAGTAGCAAACATAACTCAATGACTGGCAGCACCTGCCTCCCATTTACAAGTCTCTATCCCAACAAGACATGAGGCAACTAAAATAAGGAATTCATAAGTAATCTTTATCTAAAGCTTGAAATTTATGGCAGAAAGTGAACTCTAAAGATATTTATCAGAATGATTGGTAAATAGTAGATAATATGTGTTTGTTACATAAATGAGTGACTAAGTATATTTACAAAAATAAATACATGAGAAAACAAATGAATCGGTGCTGAAATCACCCAGGATAAAGGGATGAAGAAATAGGTGCTGCTACCATCAAATGGGGATAATCCAAGGAGGGCTTATATGCACAGCACTGATGACAAAGACACGTCTAAACAGCAGAGAGACCATAAGGGATGGTGCCGAAATCCTGGGCTAACAGAAGTGAAGCTGTTGCCACCTCTTACGTAAAGGATAAGGGGAGGGAGAGGGCTTGGAGGATGGAGGCCCGCTGACGGAATGTGTGCAGATCAACCTCCCAAGGCAGAGAGCAGAAAAGAGAAGGGTGGAGAGTGGATCTGGAGGAATAAGAAGAGGATATTAAATACAAATGGGCTGTGAACCTGGCCCCAGAGCATCGAACTCTAGAAAAGGAATAGTTGTCAATGGAGCAGTCTTGGCTGCAAGCTGTAGAAAGAGAGTCAAATTACTGTAAAGGCAGGAAAGAAAGTGGTTTTCAAACGGTGCTGTCTGGAGCACTGGTACACTAAAATGTTAATAATACCCCTCCAAAAAAGTATCTGACTTCAAATTGATCAGAGACCAATTTTCAAGCTGGTCAACAAAAGCAATCTAACACCCTTCCCTTAATGACAACCAGGAAGTGGTAGAGAACAATAAAAGGAACTTAAAACATGGGTCTGCGTTGGTGTACTACTGACCAATCATTTTTCAAGTAGAAACAAAATTAATCTTTCTCAAAACCTAACTTCTTAAACCAGTGCCAAAATAAGAATTTTGAGCGAAAAAAAAAATAACACGAACCCCTACTGTACTTGTATCCAAAATTGCACGGTCTCCTCCAGGCAAAGTCACTACTATGGTTTAACCGAAGACAGGCAGTGGTCTCTAATCTCTCGGCTCATGCCTTTCCCCTTTGCTCATGTTAGTCTAGTGATAAATGATGTAGAATTTCTCAGAGAGAGGGAAAATTATGCCCAATATAAAAAGTGGTTGAAAAAAGCTGATTACAGAGTCATTAGCCCCTGTGGGCTCATTTTATTGCTATAAAGTCATCATTCAAGTAGACATATATTTAGCTTCTGTGGCCTTCGTTTGTGGTAAGCGAAATAACCTCAGACAAAAAAAAGGGGGAGCCCAAGAGTTCAAAGTTCCTATTTTTAGTGATGTGACGGCCAATTTACTGCATTAGAAAAGCCCAGAGCAGAAGCAGAGAGATGTCAGCGACTTGTGTCCTTTGTACTGTGTGGTGCCCTGAGCACCTCTGGGGACAGGTTATTTTTAGAGCACACGTACTGTGAGGGACACTTGAAATGCAACATGTGGCAGGAAAAGGATAGCAGCAAGGATGCTGAGGCGCTTACCCACGCTGACATGTGAGAAATAGTTCAAGGAACTGGACATATTGGCCTAGAAAACAGAGGCCTGTATAAAACAAAGAGTTTCTTTTATTGAGTTTTAGGGCTCACTATGGAAATCAGATTGATTTATCCCCTCCCTAGCCCATAAGTGTATAGACATATTTTTTTAATTCAAGGTAAAAATCTGTGCTCATTCATACAATATTTATGATCAAGTACAATTGTTCTTTTATTGTACTATCTCTGAAAGTTAAAGGAGAATGTATTAGCAACACAACAGTTTTTAACATTGAGAGCTTCATATCACAGGTGGGTTTGTAACCAGACACTGGATGACTATCTGTGAGTTCTATTATAGAAGGAAGAATGTCTGTGTTCCTTAATTCAATGCACACACGAATTGCCTGGAAACCCTGTTAAGTTGCAGACCCTAACGTAGTAGGTCTTGGCTGGAGCCCGAGGTTTGTCATTTCCAACAAGCTCCCAGTGATTCGGATGCTGCTGCTCTGCAGGCCACACTTTGATTAGCAAAGCTTTAAGGTTACTGCTTCTCCAACACTGTCTGATTTCAGTGGGAATCAACACGTCTAGCTTGTGTCACCTCAAATATAATGTCTTGTCTTTTAGACAAACAAACTAAACTAAAATGGAGTCATATACCTGTCACCAAAATGGAGTTTGGCCTTGCAATTCCACCTTGCTACTGCACCCTGATGAAATATATGAAACTGTTTTGCCTGTGCCTTTAATATAAACTGCAGACCCTGTGGAAAGGATGCTTCAGTGTTCGGTCCCCACTCAACATCTTAGCTCGGAGCCACTCTCCTGGGCCTTCTCTTGCACCTAAGCCCGTCCTGTTGAAGTCCCCCACATGCTGTCTTTGTCCCATGCTGATTTTGTTCAGATTGCATGGTTAGTGCTTTTTCCCAAGTTCAACCTTGGAGTATTTGAACAAGGTCTTGGTGTCTTCCTCTTTATCCCTATGCACTGTGAGGATTCAAGCTCTGCAGTAAACATCCTTGCCCTTCAACTCAGAGCCAGTCTTCCTGACACTGTTTCTGCCACCAGGTTCTTCCTGTCCTGAGCGGGGCGTAGACAAATACAGGCCACTCATGTCAATTTGCCATTTCATGTGACCCAGAAATTACTAGGAAGGCAGAGTTTATTCAATACATTTCCAAACATTGTCTATTTCTCTTCTGTAGGTAAAAGCTAGAGAAGAATACTGATAAAACTGAGAGTAGAGATTTATCTGCTGATGATAGTTACAACCTTCAGGAAAAAATGAGATGCTTCCTAAGAAGCATGTCATAATGAGATGCTGAGAGTTTCCAAGTGTAGAGATGCCTTTCCTCCTACAGGTAAGAGCTCCAAATAACTTCCTCTGTCAGAATTCCATCCTTAGGATGTTTCTGTGTAGTTCTGAAAATTTGACTACTAAATTAAATAAATCGCACAAAGGATGGTAGGAAAACATACCATCACTGAGAGAAAATGGAGTAATTTGAATAAGAGTAAGATAGTTCTTGACACATCCAACTAAACTTCTGGATCCCTAAATTTCTGGAACATATATTCAGATATAGCAGCATAGAAAGGTGGCCATTCCATCTCATAGTTTCGTCTACCAGCTATGAACTCTGACAGAATTTCTTATCTGAAAATTCCTGCTAATTATTTGATATACAGGGGTGGGCAAAAACAGGGCTACAATGTCTTGTATAAATAACACAACAATTAATAAAATAATACAAAAATAAACTGGGTTTTGCATACTCAAAACCCTAAACCTACTTTGTCCTCTCTGTGTATTCTATTTACTTGCTTTGTATTAGACTTATTTTCCCCCCAAATTGTAAACTCGTACAGGCAGGGACTATGTTCTAGTCTTCCTTTGCTTTCTCCTCAGTGCTGGGAATTTATTAGGGACTTAAAGAATGCTTGTTGGTTTATTATTGAAGATGTCACAGCAAACATTTTACCAGCAAGAGATGTTCAACCTGTTTTCTGTTTAGTAAGAACCGAGTCTGTTGTAACAGGTACTAATGGGTTGGGAAATTATAAACATGGCAGAGACCTTTGGCCTTTTGTTCTGAATTCTAAAAGGGAGGAGGGGCAGAAATTCTTTGGGATAGATGTGTGCAGCTACTTGTTTACCCATTGCAGGGAGTTGGAGGAAGGAGTCCGAGCAGGGCCTTTCCCAGCCCTCATTTCACGGAGTTGCCCCTGGCTTCCCTCCCCTTCAGAACGGCCATGGTTCCTACCCCCACTTAACAAGAAAATAGCGTGAGGACATCTCGTTACTTGGCTGCTGAAGAAGAAAGACAGCTGTGTGTTGTATATGACGGGTTTGTGTGGTGATCATTTCAAATGCTTCAAAACCTACAGGGAATAGGCTGGTCCGTGGGTAGTGGGTTATCAGAACTCAACTAAAGTTAGTGTCACTAAAGTTGGAAAACAACCCCCCACTACTCAATTTGACTGGCCTTTATCCTAGCCCTGGCTGGTGTGGCTCAGTGAATTGAGCACTGGTCTGCTAACTAAAAGGTCACCAGTTCAGTTCCCAGCCTGGGCACAAGCCTGGGTTGTGGGCCAGGTCCCCGGTTCAGGGCTTGCAAGAGGCAAAACCTACAAGGAATAAGTAGCCATATGCCTTCCTTTTTCTTGTTTCAAAAACAAAGCTGTCTCTTTCCCTGCCTCTCTCTCCTCTGGCTCCTTAACCTCATTAAGAAGCCATTGCCTTTATGAACTTGTCAGCTTCCATAATCACCCGAGCCAGTTCCTTAACATATCTATCCCAGGCCCTTCTGCTCTTGCTCCACCTCTCTATCTCTATTTCCATTCACACACACACACACACACACACACACACACACACACGATTCTGTTTCTCTGGAAAACCTTAATACAGGCTCCTTCCGCTATGACATGTGGAAGTTGGTCCTTTCTCACATGGCCACAATGGCTGCAACACATTAAACGAAACTCAAATGATCCAATAGAGAAGGGACCAACATAAACGTTGCCTGTCCTTCAGTTTCCAAAGAGCCTTCAGCACAGTGCAAATGAAGCTGCTAGGTACTGGAAATGCTTCCAGTGTTTTCTTCGCTGAAAACTTCTCAAGCAAAGCCCTGTAGTACATGAGTTAAACTTTCACTACCTCTGTCTGTCTGGATGTGAAGGCTATTCTGTTGAACTTGGTGAGAAATGAAAGACTAAAAGGGTGTCATGGGAGACAGGGGCCCCGGAGCTCTTATTGTGACAACTATGAAACTGAAAACAGTGGGGAACGGCAATCAAATGTAAGGATCTCCTAACTGGCACTTTAAGGTAAGCAACAGACGTTGCAGCATCTTGCATGAGAAAGCTGGAAATTCATTGATGAGTCTCACTATGGCATTCTGCTCTACAATTTTTCAACTTGATTTCTGTCCAGCCCTGAAAGCAACAGTGATATTCGTTCATGCTGATAGGCTGTGGATGTGATCATTTGTCCAGTTGGTCCTACTGCCCAGGAACCATTTTATTTCTCAGGCAAAGATCATTACTGACTATAAAAAATCAACAACAGACAAAAAATTAAATTCAACAATCCTACTTTTCTATATCTAGAAAGACTTCTCTCTACCAAAATGGGGGTCTCACCCATGATTTGGGGGTAGATGTTGGACTTTTTTTTAGCAAGTGTGTTTTATATCTTTGCAGATTCAAAATCATGAAATCCTTAGTCTTCTGGCTGCTGAACCTTGAATTTGTTTGTAGTTCAACACGTCTGTGATTATCTCGGAATGGGAAAGACAAAGAAGACGTGAACCCACTGGTAACTTCAATTTGTACTCCCCGGTGTCCTTAAACATTTATCTTAATACCTCTCACTCCTTTCCCATCCTTTTTTTTTTTAAAGTTTGTGTCCCAAACAGTGATAAGCCCAAGATTACATATTATCTGTAGTTTTCAAATCAATATTACCTTCTATCGCCATAACCGCGCAGTTTAGGGCTTTGCGGCCAGCTACCATGACAATAGATGCACAGCCTGGAACCAGTTTTAGTTAATTAGAGTCAATCAATCCCAACTCTGCAAACTTCCTCATGTGAAACAATAGTATAATGAACCAAAGTCAGCAAGATGATTGGGAAACACAAATTATTGCACCCTGATAAATTAAATGTGACTATTACAAAAACTTCTTTCTAAATGAATACTCAGGGAAGGACTATATGAGTATTTAATACAATTAAGAATATAGGGAAAATAAACTTAAATGAGCTATTAAGTGGCCATCTTTTTATTAAAGAAAGGAAAACACTCAGAGCTTGTATGGTGGGGAGATCTTATGGCATCTTTATGAGACTTCCCTTGAGAAAATATCTTTGTGTTGATGGGGTCCTTGGGTGGAGTGGACAGAATGCAAGACAGGCGCCCTGTGAGCACCAGAACCATGTCAGCGGGGTGTGAGAGCAAAAAGGGAAGGGTCTCAGCTTCCTTCTCTGTGTGTGTTCAATGTCTAGAAAGTGCGTTTGTGTGACCAAAGGGTCGGAGAGTTTCCCCAGAACTCTGGCAGATCCGACAGGCTATCTATCCTTGGTCTTGACGGCACACATTCTCAGAGTTCAAGGCCTGCTGTAGACTAAGTAAAATGAACAGCCATTTATACTTGTTATAGGTAGAGTAAGACAAAGGGCAAAGATTTGCCCTCCTTTAAGCCAAACCTTGCTGTTGCTTTATCCTAAGGTAATCTGAGAATCCTATCAAAACTGTTATTTTGGGAACCATGTTGATGGGACACAGTTAAATGCAGGGGGAGCAGGGGATAATGGGGGATTGGGGAGTTTGTGATGCAAATTGATATGGAGCCAATGTCGCATTAGGGAAACAAGAGGTGGAAAGCAAAAGGGTACTGGATGAGGTGGGTAGAGGAAGGAAGTTAAAAGAAATGTAAAAGGGTGACTTATAAAATTAGATTCTTATGCCTCACCTTAGGCTAAAATTGATCCTATGATTGGCTGTGGGCAGGGAACCAACTGGCATTAAAAAAAAATCCCCGTGCAAGGGGGTGGAGAGAGCTCTGACCTAGAGTTAGAGGACTTGGGGGTCCTCTTCCAGCAAGTTCTTTGATCTATTTGGCCTCTGTTTCCTGATCTACGAAATGAGTGTTGAAATAGATGATCACTGAAGGAGCTTCCAATTCAAATATTTCATATCCAGGTATAATTTCAAGAAGAATTTTTAATAACTTACTCCAGTGACACGTGTTTAACTACTGTTATTGACTGAATGTCTGTGTCTTCCCAAATTTTAAGTTGGAAACTAACCCCCACTGTGATGGTATTTGGAGGCGGAGCCTTCGGGAGATAATTAGGTCATGGGATTAGTGTTGGAATCAGAGGCTCCAGAGAGCTCTCGCTCCCGTTCTGCCCTGTGAAGACACAGGAAAAGAGGGGCATTTTTTTTTTATGAACCAGGACGTGGGCTCTCACCAGACACTGAACCTACTGGAGCCTGATCTTGAACTTCCCACTCTCCAGAACCGTGAGAAATGAGTCTTTATTGTTCTAGCCATCCCAACTATGGTAGTTTTGTTATTGCAGCCCAAACAGACTTGTGACAACCACTGAGTTACTTTGTTACTTCTGTCAAATAATCACACAGATCAAGGCAAATGCCAGAGATATTTGTAGCATGGTTCATAAGAATATTATGTTACATTAGATTGTATTGCTTTATACTAAGCTCCCATTTATTTTCTCTTATTCTGAATCAGTCTTTATATACTCTCAAATTCACATATAGTTTTTGTCATTTATCAGGTGCATAAACAGGACTTGTCTTAAAAGAGGATTAAAGATTGCTCACGTTCATGGTGAGACTTTTTATCCATCTGTATGTCATTAGGTTTCATTTTCCTTATTTTTAAAGATGGCTGCTGCAATAAGGTAGCTCACTGTTCTTCATGCTGTAAATTAATAGTCAAAATAATTTGATGCTTCTAGAAGACAAGAAAGAGGAGCCATGCTATTCTCAGTATTCTATAATATCTAGTACAGTATATGGTTATGAAGGTACTTATTCAGTAGCTGTTAGATGACAGGCAGGAGTGTAGATGAATGAAGAAGTTGCAGATGGGTGGGGGAAATAAACACATGGATAAAAAGAAGGTCAATGTAAATACAGTGGCACATAGTTTATATTTCTTTTCATTTGGATCAGTTTTAATTATCTTTATTAAAACTTATTTTAGGAAATGACAATAATTTGTGTAATAGAAACACATGACACAATTCTATACATTTTCATATTTATTTAGCATATTCAGACTCATCGAACTCTTAAGAAAAAGATAATTAAAAGATAAAATAATTTTTTACATCTCAAAGACATGCAGCAAATTTAAACCCACCTTCCATATCTCAGATTCAAATTCTATCATTAGCAATAAAATGAATTTAAAGGTTTCCTTTCTAGATATGTTTTATACCTATAACTTAAAACTCACAAAACCAGTTGCTTCTTCCCAAACCACGTTAAAACACACACACACACACACACACAAAGTATCTCCATTGGCCGTGACACCGCCAATTGGTGATGAGAAATTTGCTTGTGCTTTTGACATTTCTGTGTAAAACAACAGCTGCTCCACTCACTTGGAAGCAGCCTCTTTCCCCCACTGGGAATTCTTATCCCCGGTGGAGGTGGGTGGGCATCCGTCTGGCAATGGTGTTTGCATACAGAGATTCTCAGGCACTCTACGGCTGACAGCCAAAATGAATTCATTCTGTGAGAAATATGCTTTCCAGCACGAGGCGGCCAGACCTGCTTCCCTGTGGGGATCAGGGCATGAGGGGAACCACGGCGCTGCTCCCACCCCAGTGAGTCTGACACCCACAACCACACGGGGCCAGCCAGGTACAGTGTAGACACCTGAAGCTAATGCCTTAACTACCTCTCAACTATCAGCAGGAAAGTTTTAGGAGAAAAACGAGCAGATTATTTTCAACAGAAACATATCTGTGAATGTACTGGGTCCCCCTCTCCCTTTGTCTCTTATCATCCTCACCACCAATATTATCATTATTATTGTTCTTTCTGCCCTACCTTAAACCTTCCTGAAACTTGAATAGTGTTTATTTCTTTTTCCTCTGGCCTCTCTTCTTTTCTCATAGGTACCTTAAACCATTTAATGAACACCCTCACTCACTGGGCCCTGAAAATTCAACCCCAGGGAAGAAGTGGGATGAGTTTCACTTAGGCAAGTAACATCAAAACACTGAGCCCTGAGAAGGTGCCTATCATTCTGAGCCATTCCATACCGATTATCTGGGCCTGGATTCTGCTGATTGTATTTCTACTCTCATCACCATGGGCCTTTTGAAGGGCACTCCCTTACTCATCAATTCTGTGGTTATCTTGCATGGTTTCAGTGCAAGTCCAAGGCTGCCTCTGCACAAACTCAGGATACTCTTAGAATGTGGGATATAACTAGGAATGTGGGATATAATCTTTTCACTACACGTCCCCTGAAGCTTCTTGTCCTCCCATCCTCACCATTTTTCTAGATTCTGCTTCATTGTCACTTCCTCAGTGAAGAAGTCTCCTTTCTAGGTCAGATTCTCCGCTTAAATGCTCAAAGTACTTCAATTTGTCAGAGTATTTTTCAGTTGTGGTAATATGACCTTTAGGAAGTCCTCTGAAGTCCCCGCACTTGCTGTATTCTGTGCCCAGGAGGGCAGAATCAGGTCAGTTTGGTTCGTCCTTGAACCAGACCTGCATAGAGCTGGGCACATACCGGGGGCTTTGTACAAATTTGTTGAATAAAGAAATGACTAAGACTATTTAGATCCCTTTTTTCAAACACTCTCTCAGTTCTTAAAAAGGACCAGTAATTTATTTGTATAAGAATATTCTCTTAAGAAGAGCAAAGGAAACCTTTACTTCCACTGCCTAATTTTCTAAGTGAAAGGATTCTGTCCCTCAGGTCTAATACCATCCAATTTAGAAAAAAGAAAAATATGTTTGTTTTTAAATTTTTTAAAATTTAAAACGTTTATTGTTTTGGAGTCCTCAAAATCTGCTTCTTAAATGACAGATAGTCAATCTGCATTTATTCATTGTAGACACCATTTCTAACTTTTTTCTAAAAGTTTGATTTTACTTAAACCCTTTTGTAATGATTCATTTACTGAACACTTATTAGACATCTATTACTCAGCTAGGACCTCAGCTATGTGCTGTGAATAGAAAAATAACATCTACTGAGGAGCTACACACTTAATAAGAGATCTAAGATAACTGTGAGTATGGCGTGATGGATACCTACAGGAGAATTAATTAACTTTACCTGTGAAGATTAGGCAGCATCGCAAAGAAGGGGCGGCATCAGGGGCTGCTCTTGAGGATGAATGGAAGGCTGCCAGGCAGACAACGACTTCCTCCAGTCCCTCGGAAGGAAGAAAAATGGCACGAGTGAGGGCAAGGGGATGGTTCACACATTCAATTATTGTCCTGTGTAATTCAGACTTCATAACACACAGACCTGCCTATTTTATGAAACACCTCTCTGTATCCTCAGAGAGCAAGACCCTCTGAAACACAGCACCTCTTCATCTGGTTCTCAGACTAGTTGATCTGGAGGCAGTTTGCAGCAGGTCTGTTCAGACAGCTGTCGACGTGTGCAACCGCCCAGCCGTCAGAGAACACGGAGGGCCTCCTCCTGTGGAGATGGACTTACATGATTCACCGGTGACTGTGCTGTAACTCCTTCATGAAATCCCAAAGCAGTGGGAGCTCCACCTTCATTATTATCAGATGTCTTACAGGCACCCAAGTCAACACTTTAAAATGACTCCCTATGAGTTTCCAAGACCAAGTTTATCTTCAAGAAAATTTTCTGAAAGGAGCCTGCTAGAAGCTGGTTAGCAATACTATAAAAATGCCTTTTAATAGTAAGGATCCTGTGCTCCCCACATTCTGCCACTTTTACCCTAGAGACAAAAAAAATGTTTGAAAAGGAGCATATGAGTAAATTTCCCCAAAGATTATAGAAATTCCAAGAATTTCAAGTTTCTCTCTCTCTCTCTGCACCTGCTTCTCCTCTTCCTCTTCCTCTTCCTCCTCCTCCTCTTCTCTCCTCTCTTTCCTGTCTCTCTCTATGTGTGTGTCTATCTCCATGATGGATGGGTAGATTGATAGATGATAGGTATATAAATAAATGGGTAATTATATAGATAGTGATAGCAATAGAAAAAGAAAGGTAGACACTGTCCTTCAGAGAGCTGAAAAAAATTTTTCATCCCTGAATAAAATGCAGATTACTGTAGTTTGGGAATCAGAGGAATGAATTTTTAAACACATTTATTTCCTTATAAAATTACAATGTCACAGACTGCCAGATTTGAATCCATAAAACCTCCCGAAGCAGCCAGCCTTAGTCTGAAGGAAGCCTGCCTCCACCCTGCCACCTATCACGGGTCACCCACTGAGAGAGGACAGGCAGTAAGAGTCCCCATTGTGGAGAGGTCCTCACAGGTCCCTGCCCTGGAGTTCTCAGCTGACTTTATTCCAAATGTCCCCAAAGAAAGAGCTTTCCCTTTAAAATCATTTCCATTTTATATTTAAGACTGCTAAGGATATGCTTTTGTCAAAAAAGCTGCTGAGAAAGAAAAAGAAAAAGGAAAAGAAAATTGTTCTGAGACCTCGAGTTCCCTACAGCGTGAGCCAGCATCACATACTCAGCGGTGAGAGCGTCCTGGGCTTGAATGAATGAATGCGCTGCTTCCCACGCGGCCCTACGTGACCAACCACTTTCCTATGCTCCCGAACACCACCTTCTTCCCTTCTGAAGCCATCACTGGACTCCTCGCCTTTCACTGTGGCATGTTTTACCTTTAAAGCATTGCATTAGCAAACAGTTTATTTTTTCGTCAGCTGTAATCAGTTTTTGAATTCTGTTGTGTTTTATTTTTTTTTTTAGCCAAGTATGGTTCTCATGGTGTAGTAAATGACATTAGGCTTTTGTAAATTCTTGCAGAATATAACAGATCATTGGTTTTATAACACAGTTGCTGCTTTTGCATTCTGATGAGATTATTAGTAGCAGCCTAGAATGCAGCGTCGCTGCATACTGTTAGTTAAAAAAAAATAAAAGTTTACTAAATGGTCTCTTGTCAACTGTATCTGAAAATCATTATGGTTTCTCTGTTTCTTCTACATGAAGGGGCTCTTCAGCAAGCTGGTGGCTTATGTCAACATGAGGTTACAAAATTATTATCCCAGCTCTGTTTGTTTCAGTGGGGCTTATGCCACGCATTAGCACTCCTATTGTAAATCTCAGGGGCTTAGGCATTTGTACATCAGGTGTGAACAATTCCAGTGTTCCAGCAGCGGATCCTCAGAGCCAATCGGCCCAGTGGTGGCTTTCATTCGAAACAAATTCTAAGGGGAACAGAACGCACTGGGTTTCTTCGATTTGGCATCTCTCCATAACATAGATTAGCCCTTTGGGGTGTTTGGTGGTCTCCTATAGAGAGATTTAAAATTCTTCTATTAATATAATTAAGCATTTTCCCCCTCTTGGGCCCAGACTCTATAATGCAAATTAGCTACATGTGATATTTAAGGGGCAAATGGTCTTCCATGCACTGCAGCGTGGTGGGGTTGGTGAGAGGGAGAAGTGCCTGCTTGCGAACGGAAGTGCCTCGCACAGACCAGGGAGCAAAACATTTTCTTCCGTGTGTGGTTTCCTTTTTTTTTTAAGGGCTGAAATGATGACATTTGAAAATTGCCTATTGCATGTGCACCTCACCTTTCTCTCCATACCACTTTACACGTGCATATCTGCGATCTGCATTAAGATCATGACATTCTGCGCTTCAAATTGATGCAATGCCGAACGAAATGCTATCCTGTGAGGCGTAATGGTTCTCCAGAAGTCATGGCATTCAACGCAGTCAAAAATATAAATTTTTAAATGTGTAAATGCATATTAAAATGAGAGATCTGATTTGCTTCAGTAGTTCTGGCCTATGAGACAAGCAATAGAGTGTTTTAAAAAACTGCATGCATCTAGTTTGCATTTTTACCTGAAAATGGGAATAATGAAAATGATAAATTTTTTTAACTTTATAGTCTGTTTTGAAATTCCCTCCATGTGATAGTTCCAAAATTGAATCCATTTCTCTCTCTTCTTTTGCTTTTCTTTTTTCTTTTTCCTCAGTTTCTAGGGATATCTTTGTTTTATTGGCAACAACTTAAAATGAAACGATGTTTAAAATGAACATTATTCTCACCCTAGCCAGTGTGGCTCAATGGTGGGAGTGCTGTCCTGTCTACCAAACAGGTTGCCCTTCCAATCCAGGCACGTACCTAGGTTGTGGGTTCTACCCTGAGTGTGCAGGAGACAACCGATGGATGTTTGTCTCTCCCCTGGATGCCTCTCTCTGTGTCCTCTCTCTCTCTCTCTCTCTCTTTTTCTAAAAATAAAATAAAGTAAAATTGGCATTATTCTCTTTGGAATTTTAAGTGTATGATTCTTCTGATTCAGCTATTCAGCGACATTCTCTATCAGGTTTATTTGCAGATAATATTTAAGAACTGCAATGCAAGTTCTTCTTTAAAATGTTCTCTTAAATGACTACAGCTGGTTTTATTACACTAGTTCACCTAAATGGAAGAGTGAAATAATCGAATGAAAACCAACTTCCAGTGCTCAGGGTTTAGGACAAGAGCCAAACCTCTGGCTTCAGCCTAGTTGCAGAAACTGTGCTAAGTACTAGGGATGAGGAGGCCAACTGGGTTGTAATCTAAAGGGCAAGAAAGTAAAACACTATATAAATTAAATGAGCTATGGTGTATAATAAGAGGGTGTGTAGTCCCTGAAAATCAGTAAGATCAGAAACACCATTATACATGTTTACATTTCCTTGGCAGGAGCAGGCCCCTTACCCACAGATTAGGTTTCTGTGCAAATCAGTAGAGGATAATGGAACTCGAACTCTAAATGTAAGTAGGTAAGAGTTTAAAACTCACCTCCTACAATTGCTGTGTGATCTAGAGGGGAAAAATTAACTTCTCTTAACTTCAAATTTTTCTGCTGCGAAAATAGAGCAATAGTCATAGCTACCTGAAAGGTTTATTTCTTGCAGGGAGGTTATGCATGGAAGAAGTTTAATGCAGCACCTGACATACAGCAAGTGCTCATGAAATGCCATCTGGCAATAGGAACATTGTTCTTCACAGAGCCACTTCACCTGTGTGCCTGGAAGGGGAGGGTTTTGACCAGGGCGGCTCATTTCTTCCCGCTGGCGAATGGGCTTCTTTCCCCTGGTTTGAGTAGCGTACGTCAAAGTGATCTTGTGAAGTTCTCACCCACGTCACTTCATCCCACTATCTATTCTGACCTGGTAAACCTGTCCCTTAGTCCATTGTGCACTTCCCTTCTTTGTAAAATTAAATTGCAGCTGATGAGGGTGGTGGATATAATCAAAAGCATTCACATATGTGTTTACATATAAAGCGGAAGGTGGCTCCCTTTAATGACTATGATGTGGTCTCAGCTATGTCACATGAATGCTTTGAAGATTTGCGCTGTTTTACCCTGGAGCCGTGGTCTCTTTTTTTTCTATGTGAATGAGTACACTGTGCTGTTTTCCTGGGCACCAATCAGTGCACACTCGAATGGTCTCTGGCAAACGGCCAGGGTTATGAGCCAAGGCCTCCGCTCTCTGCTGTCAATCCAGAATTCCTGTATCATCAGTGCTGTGTGGGGACCCCCTCAGCTGACCCGACTTCCTGCAATGCTAACACCAAGCCTCCCCATCTCTTTGCCTGCCAGTTAGAATATGCTTCCTTCCTGTCTTAGTTCATTTGGGCTGCTATACCAGAATACCATAGACTGGGTGGCTCATTAACAGCATTCATTTCTCACAGTTCTAGAGGCCGGAATTTCAAAATCAAGGTAGTGGCAGATTGGGAGACTGATGAGAACCCACTTTCTAGTTCAGATACAGTGCCTGCTCATTGTGTTTTCACAGGGCAGAAAGGGAGAAAAGGTGGGACCTCTTTTGTGAGAGCCCTAATGTCATTCATGAGAGCTCCACCCCATGACCTAATCACCCTGAAAGGCCCCACCTCCTAATATCATTACATTGGGGATTCGGTGTCAACATAATACATCCGGGCGGAACTCAAACATTCAGCCAAAAAGACTTTCTTTAATTTAACCATTACAACACATGCATGCAAACATAATCAGCTCTCCTCATCAAACCTCTTTAGAGACATTCACTCGACAAATATGTGTTGAGTGCTTTTATGTACCAGGTGCTGAGCTAAGTACCAGGGACATAAACTAAATGAGAAAACTCTCGACCTTAAGAACACTGAGTTTATCCTAGACAACAGAGGATAGCTAGGAATCAAAAAATGAATAGATAACCAAAATACTTTCAGACTGTGATTAATGTTTTAAAAGAAATAAAGACAATGCTATCCCAAAAAGTAACAGGGGGATTTACTCCACTGATATGGACACAGAGTGCTTTCTGAGAAACAAACTATGTAAAAAAAAAAGACCCAGAGAATGAGGACTAGCTAAGCAAGTGACAAAGCAGTGGGAAAAACTTTTTTATTTTATGTATTTTATAATTTTTAGGGTGCCCTGACCAGGAATTGAGCCCACGACCTTGGCATACCAGTACAATGCTCTAACCAACTGAGCTACCTGTCCAGGGCCAGAAAAACTTTTTTAGACTGGATGCACGGTAATGGCAAAATCCTTGAATATGAGAGAGGACTGAAGATGTTTCAAGAACCCAACATAATTTCACACAGCAGCTACAGCCTAGTGAAGCTGCTGGGGACCAGGAGTCAAGAGCCAGAGCACGCAGGGTCTTGCAGACCTGGGGGGTTAGGGAAGGGTCGGGTCAGGTTCCGAGCATGGCAGAAAACGAATGCAGGGTTTTAAGCATCAGAGAGACCTGTTCCAACTCCTCATGTATGAATGCTGAAGTTTGAGTGGGGAAGGGAATACAGGGAAGTCAGGCTGGTAGCACGGAGGCCGGTTGGGAGGTTCTAGCAGCTTTTCAGAAAGTAGGGTGTGAACTGGGGAGGGCAGGAGGTGGCATGGGGGTGGCAAAGATGGAATTAATTCAAGGGATGTGAAGGTGGAATCGAAGGAACTCAATGACAGAATTTGGGGGGTGGGGAAAGGGGAATGAGAGGATGAAAGAAATGAAAGAATTGCTGATGACTCCAGGTTTCTGACTGAGTCACAGCGTATAGGGCGTATCATTGACTAAGATGAGGGGGACTAAGGAGGGGGTGGGCTTGGGGGGATCAGGAACATGGGCATATAAAGTTAGAAATGCCCATGCACACATGTAGTCCAAGTACAATTGTGAAGAAGGCACTACCCAACAGGGTTCTGTGTGGTCCACTTACCTATTCATCAATGTGTCAGCACTGATCACACTGGAAAACTTAAAAGTAACAGCCATCATTTGCTAGGTGACAATGATCCCGTTGGTGCATAGCATCATATTTATGTGTTAGCTAAATGTAATTTTGATGTCAGGATTGCTCCTTAGTATCAGGGCCAGCACACAAAGTTTATTGTATTAAATGCTCTCAGAATAAGAAATGTCTAGTTGGGAGACTTTTGCCAAAAAAAAAAGAAGGGGGCTGGAGGGATGGCAGTTCCAAATCCATAGACCGATGAGAAGGTCTCGTGATCTAGAATCTGAGAAATGAGAGTGGACCAACAGGAACACAGCCACCTGGAGAAATATGACATGGTAAATGCACACAGTATGCCTTGGTAAACACGCTGAAATGGTCTCACCGTGTTCCAGAAATGTCAATCCAAAGATATTTCCCCTAATGTACAGATCAAATGGGCTGCATGAGGGAAAGTGTTTGAAGGGAGGGAGGAGACAGGAGGAACATTTTACAATCACATCCCTGAT